GATAAAATCTTTTTACCATAAAAATTTTTCTTATAATCAGATTCACATATAGGCCATTATGAATTTATCCAAAATATTTTTTTGTTAAATTGAATTTTTATATTTTCAGTACTAAAAACTAAATATAAAAAATATTATTTTGAAAAAAAGTTATTCCAAAAGTCAGTTCTATCTGCCACACTTTGTATATATAATATATTATATATATTATATGATTTAAAATTCTAGCCCCTTCCTAAAAATTGAACCAATAAWTGTGTTGGGCGCGTAGATACCAGCCGCGCTTTTTCGGACGTTAAAATTCGTCATCATAATAATCACACGAGCACGTTTTTTATTTATTTATTTTTTAACTAGCCGTCGTTTTATCGTTATGACATAAATATAATACAGTTATATAATATATTCTATCGAAAGTGCGCACAAGAGCTGCTGGGCTGCAGCTCTTAAATTATTCCCAGCAAATACGACGCGAGAAATAATAATAATAATAATCCGCCCCGTAGATGACCATAACGACTTTAACGCGATTCATAATAAGAGTAATACGCGCGCGTGTGTATACGATACGACGGTATAACAATGCCTGCGTACTGCGTAGTGTGTGCGTGTGTGAGCACAGACTTTCATTAGTGCTATAAAAAGTGGCGTGGTCGTGCGAGGGAGGTGTTACGCATATTTATATTTAAGAATGAGATACATATATAGCCGGAGGACGTTAAAATCGCGCGTGCAGACCATTGTCCGCTGTYGGATACTTTTTTAAATATTGCATATAGGTACACATAATATATCTACACATCACATAACATTCGTGTATAACATATATTGGTAATATATTATTATAATGATTATATTTACCGTCGTTGACGTAAGTCGGCGCAGACTCGTTAAAAGCATTAATGAACGGAACGAACCTTTTTTGGCCGAGTCTCGTTGTCTTATTMGCTCATATATACGAAAGTTTCACGACAACAATGATCTCTATTTCGACCACCAAGGCGTCCCTCTTACAATAAAAATCATTGCATTACAATACTGTGCGAGCGTGTTGTCGGCCGACCGGAAGAATAAAAAAAAAATTAAAACAAAATAAATAAACACTCGGTGATCGAGCACATTTTCTACATAATATAATATATTAGGATATAGGCGTACAACACCCATGTTATAGTTTTTTTTCCATCATAATAATCGAACGCTCGTGTAAAAAAAAAAGTGTGTAGACATTAATTGGAATCATGACTGTTAGGTTTTTCGTAACTTTACGCAACTGCAGTAGCAACACTAAACCACTAGAATCTRATTTGAGTTTATTGAAAACGGTTTTGTTACGCGGCGGTAGTTGTCCAAAAATATATAACAATTACTCCATCTCTACACTGGACGATTTCCGATAGATTTTTTGATATAATATTATWAGCAAAGGTGGCTATTAACTAGTGAGCGTTAAGTTAAATAGTTAATGCTCTCTAACTCAACTATAATTAAGTAATTTCCTAATCAACCCCTAATTACTTAGATTTTTTTACTGAATTTTAAATATAATTGSAATTTTATTATGCTAAATCCATATAGTCTCACAAATTAACAAATTATTATACCTCATATCGTAATAAATTAAATTTAAAAATAAAATATTTTTTTGTTTTATCACGATGTAGACAATGCATGGTTGTATATTATAAAAGTAAACAAATAAATAATAATAATCATTATCATATTTCTTGATTTAATAATTTAATAGAACGATCTTATAATTGYCCAATACATATAGCAGTGAGTGAAATAACAAGGAATAGTTGCATATATATATWTWTTTTTAATAAAACGTTTATAGTTATCTAAAATATTTTAATGTTGCACAATCACTAATGTGACTACGGTTATTAAAAACGATGAATTMATTTTAAAMTTTWATGTAGTGTTCAATCATAAAAAAATATTATTTAGTAAAACTATTAACCGATGACAATACTTAACGTTCATAACATTGATTAACCAACTTGAGCTATTTTCTTTCCCATTTACTTGCTCCCGTTTTGAATTTATTTGTGTAATAATTATACTTTATAAAAACTTAAAATAGCAAAAACGTTTTTAGTTTACGCATAAAATAACAATACCATTATAATAATATGTTCTAAATGTATTCGAACCGTTTTATACTGTCACGATCCGCAAAATGCCGTTAACGCGTCTCGTTATGTRCGGATGTATATAATAATGTGGTTATAATATTATGCTGTCGTTATACTCTATTATTTTCCTCGYCAAGATCTATATTGTACACTGTTCGGCGTTAACGCGAGAGATCGTATCGAGAAAAAAAAAATGACGAAGAGTTACAGTATAATATATGATATATATATATTTTTTTTTTCAACTTTTGATCCTTCCGGGACTATCGGTCCCGCGGGAGTTCAAACGTTAAAAATAATAACTATATATATCCACTGCAGATACGACGTTTGACACGTTAATTTATACACTGTGTGATGGGGAGATTTCGGAAAAAACCTCGTAGGACAAACGACGTTCTAAGCCGTCGTCGCCTGGAGGGGCTGCTGCGATGACGCTCAACGACGGTTTTTTCGGCGAGCCAGTCCCGAGACGGCATACATATAATGTATTATACCTATATTGTAAGCCGCATAAGGGTCGTCTGCGACAGATGTCCTGAAGAGAATTTTTCGGTGAGACGATGAGGAGGGAGGGGGTAACGGTGATTGATTCAGAATTTTCGTCCGTCTTCCAACGGACTTTGACGAAACTTTATCGGACCAATCGGTCGTATATTTAATATAATAATGTATTGCATGATGAGAGTTCGCGTACAAAGAAAACACGTTTTGTAAAAAACCCAAACAATTAAAAAACCGCGCTGRCACCAATATTTCGCAGGGGCGCGCGAGGTCACCACCATCAGTGCRCTGCAGTATGTAAACGGGTGGGCTCGTTCCGTGGGATCGATAACTGGATCTAAACGGGTTCGGCGATCGGAACGGAATATCGGTTCGTTGTTATGTGTAGGCACCTATTTTAATATAATGATATATTAAATTCCCATACAGGACATCTTCACACGGGGCGACTTGGACGACGTCGGTCAAGGGTTCGAACTCGTTCGATCGGTTTTTGAGCTACGCGYGTAGTAATGCGATAAATGATAATATTTAAAATACGAAAACCGGACGCCGTCATCCGCAACAGCTGCGCAACAGTATGTATCGACAAGGGTGGGTCGTTATGTTACATTACAATGTCGCGTGTATTATTTTCTACCTGTGATCGCCGAGGGTATTGCGATGGTGGCAAGTGTCCGAAATGTGTATCACGGTCTTTGGCTATACATCATTTTCGTTCTGTGTAGTTATGTCCCRATTGTGTTTTAACGTTTGACAAGGTTTTTAAAAATGTTTATTTTAAAAATTATTTTGTAAAAGACGAATCACTCGTTCATCGTCCAATTACCATTTTTACAGTGGRTACAAAATTAATTATTTGTCTTGGTAATCGAGCTGATACTAAACTRGATTTATTCGTGCAGTCTGCAACTCCGCGCTGCGGTGACCTTTTAATACTTTAAACGATTATTATTATTATCAATATTATCCGATGATGAAGTGAGCTGATGAAGTTTCTCAGTGTCCGACACTCTGGCGCATTATTCTATTATTATTATCATAAAAATATCCATAGTATAATATATAATAATAATAATATATACCCAGAATTATCATATTTCTACTCGGTCGATGAAAAAACAAATAAATATGCGAATATGTCGTATTCAAATTCCAAATGACATGTTTCTTAAAAAAATGTATGATAACGATACATATCCATGTGTATACTAGCTTTATTACCAGATTAAATTCGGCGAGATTAAAATCTGTTATTTATGTTGGAAAATAAAATAATATTATTGTGAAGAATCGTTCGTTATTATAGTTATTATACATGCGATGTAGGTACTATAAAGTATAAATTATTACATGAATAATGTTAGTTAATTAACGAGAACTGTGGCGACATTTTTATTTGTTAATGTTGTATTTTTAAAATATGTTCCAAATAACCTGATAGTCTATAGCGGTATACTGTGGCTAGGTTAACTATAGTATATAATATGTGCGACTAAACAGAGTTATTCAAAACGATTTATCCGATTTTAAACGCTTATATATGTTTAATTTATAGACTTAGAGTGATAAATGTCACATTAAATAATAGTATAACAAATTTATTTAATTACCTCTATATAAATGTTCTATGTGGCTTCCCTCTAGGTCGCACAAATGAAATTTAGATTCAAGTCGGAACTAAAATAATTTATTATATTATATATAATATGTGGATGATCCATTTTATATCCGATATTTTTTTTTTAACTTCTATATGTTTGATGATATAAAGGCGTTTAACTTAGTATATTATTCTAAAATCAACGATACACTATATATTTAACGTATCCCCAAATTCCAATAGAAGTGTATATGTATAGTTATATATAGCTATATAGTTACATGGCATAAGATCAAGAATTTAGGAAGATTCATTTTTAATATTTCTGTATAATTATTGTTATCAAACTATTTGAAAATCGGTGCCTATTTCGTTTCGTAGAAAACAGTTCATTATTGCCTTAGCGTCACCGAGTACCGTAATAATAATAACACCCTGCAAGATACAATATTATCCTATATGATGATAACAATATGATATACCTACAGAGTGTCCGCGAAGAATTACCCATTGYGATATCTCACGGAATAATGGAGATATCAAAATTCTAGTTTTGTTATAAGACTCAYSGATATAATAACTACAATCATAATATTTTGGTAAAAATTTTAAAAAATATAATTTTTTATTTGATTATTTCCGAGAAAATTAAAGATATTGCGCAATGGGTAAATCATCGCGGGACACCCTGTATATATATATAGTATGTGGAATTGAAACTATAATGTTTGTCTGTCTGTCTTTCAACACAGCCGTGCAGAGAGGTCGAGTTCCGGCCAGCCAGCCTCCCGGGCTCACCGGACTTCCAGGTCAGCTGTGCCTGGCCAACGGCGAGGCAGCCGCAGCCGCCGCGGCCGCCGCTGGAGCCGTCGGACTCAACGGCCACTCGTACCTGTCCTCCTATATATCGCTGCTGTTACGAGCCGAACCGTACCCGACGTCTAGGTACGGTCAGTGTATGCAACCGAACAACATCATGGGCATAGACAACATATGCGAGCTGGCCGCCAGACTGCTGTTTAGCGCTGTTGAGTGGGCTCGGAACATACCCTTCTTCCCAGACCTGCAGGTGAGTGCGATCGTGCGGCTAATAATAATAATATTAACTCTGACCGAACCGCATATCYCGGGATATTTTCAGGCTAGGAAAAATTATGAGATTTCTCTAAATGGCAAAAATATTGTGTTTGCAGGTGACTGACCAAGTGGCCTTGCTGAGGCTCGTTTGGAGCGAACTRTTTGTACTGAACGCGTCGCAGTGTTCGATGCCACTGCACGTTGCCCCGCTGTTGGCCGCAGCTGGACTGCATGCATCTCCGATGGCTGCGGATCGTGTAGTCGCTTTCATGGACCACATACGCATATTCCAGGAGCAGGTGGAGAAACTCAAAGCCCTCCACGTAGACGCCGCCGAGTACAGTTGTCTGAAAGCCATCGTCCTGTTCACCACCGGTAAGTCCACTTCATTATGTGTATATAGAACTTTAACGAACAATATCAACAATACATCACGTCTTAGCACGGACTG